CATCTCTCTGAGGATGGAGTGGCTGCATTAGCCAATTCGATTGAGAGGGTAATTGATGACTTGTCTAGGAATTTAAACTGATAGGTTATAGAGGTATGGGTGTTTGTGGGAAACAATCAGGCTGCAGCATTAGGGTTAAAAACAGCCGTTATTACCGGGATGCCTCAGGGATATGTTGAAAAGACAATATTCAAAATAAAGTTGCTAGTAATGGCAAATCAGTTGATCAACAAACAAAGAGAGATAGTAGAGGGCAACGAGTGACTAGCTCCCTTAAGGTTTACTATACAAATAGTAGGAGTCAAAGAAATAAGATAGATGAGCTAAGATTACTTGCAAGTGTAGGTAATATAGATATTATTGGTATAACAGAGACCTGATTCAACCTGAAAGAGAAATGCCTTCTGAATGCAACATACAGGGTTATAAACTATTCCACACTGATAGAGTAAACATAAAGGGTGGTGGAGTGGCAGTGTTTATCAAAGAAAATTTAAATTGTCTTAGACATGATATAAGATTAGAAACATCGAACACAGAATCTGTTTGGCTACGGTTTCTCGAGGATCGTGACAAATTAATTCTGGGTGGGATTTATAGGCCCCCAAACCTGATAGGGAGTGCAGTGAGCTGTTATGGGACGAAATTCATAAGGCATCTAGATATGAAAATGTTGTGATAATGGGAGATTTTAACTTTAGACAAATTGATTGGAACAGTGACAGGAAATCTTGAGTCTAGTGAGTTTCTTGATACGGTTCAGGATTGCTTTTTAGAACAGGTTGTGACAGAACCAACTAAAGGAAACAATCTACTTGACTTGGTTCTTGCCAACAAAGAGTCACTAATAATCTTGAGGTTAATGATGAGCTTGGGGAAAGTGATCACAAATCACTTAGTTTTAATATATCATGGAATTACCCAGATAACTGCAATCAAATATGCCCCAGATTTTCGCTTGGCCGACTTCATGGGACTGAAAAATTATCTGGATGGGCTAAATTGGGATGTCCTGACTATGGGTCAGGTAGGTGATCTTGGTTGCCAATATGACGTTTTTCAGAGCATAGTTCTAGCTGCCCAGACAACTTTTGTTCCGAGTAGGGAAATTACATCTAACAAAAATGATCCCAAATGGATGAACAATAGATTGAAACATCTCCTTGGTCAAAAGAGAGGCATATATAGGCGTATCAAAAGAGGGGATGGGCAGTTAAGAAATCAATATATTCAGTTAAAGAGAGAAATAAAGAAAGGAATAAGAAAAGCAAAAAGGGATTATGAGGCTAAGGTCGCAAGGGATTCAAAGACTAACCCAAAAGGGTTCTTTCAGGTATGCAGAAGTAAGATTAAGGGCAAGATTGGCCCACTTATGAGTAACTCTGGTCAGATTACCGACAGTGATAAGGATATGTGAGAGATTCTTAATACCTACTTCCTCTCAGTTTTCACCCAGGAAAATAGTAGCGATAATCCTGAAATAATAGATTATGTAGAACAGGATGATAAACTATTTACGATTGCGGTAACTAGTGACATGGTCCTCAGACAAATAGAGAAACTAAAACCTAACAAATCCCCAGGTCCTGATGAACTGTTTGCAAGGGTGTTAAAGGAATGCAAAGAGGAACTTAGCATACCTTTGGCTGATCTTTTTAACATATCACTACAAACTGGCATAGTGCCTGATAAGTGGAAAATGGCAAACGTAATACCTATTTACAAGGCAGGTGAAAGGTCCTTAGCGTCGTACTATAGACCAATAAGCCTTACCTCCATAGTGGGAAAATTTATGGAATCAATAATTGCCGAAGCCATTCGTAGCCATCTTGATAGGCACAGATTGATTAATGAATCTCAACACGATTTTACAAAGGGGCGTTCCTGTCTTACGAATTTACTAACATTTTTCACTAAGGTGTTTGAGGAGGTAGATCATGGTAATGAATATGATACTGTGTATATGGACTTCAGTAAGGCTTTCGGTAGAGTTCCACATCACAGGATATTGAGGAAACTTAAGGCACACGGAATAGGAGGAGAATTTTTTCCTGGTAGGGGCATGGCTGACAAATAGGCAGCAGAGAGTTTGCATAAATGGGGAGAAATCAGAATGGGGGCACGTCACAAGCGGTGTTCCTCAGGGGTCAGTGTTCACAATTTACATAAACGACATAGATGAGGGAATAAATAGCGACATAAGCAAATTTGCTGATGACACCAAAATAGGCAGTCCAATTCATTCTAATGAGGACACTAGATCACTCCAGGATGATTCGAATAGACTGATGCAATGGTCGGAGAAGTGGCAGATGCAGTTTAATATTGACAAATGCAAAGTTCTAAATGTTGGACAGGAAAATAACCATGCGACATATAAACTATATGTAGATCTTAATACTACTGATTGCGAAAAGGATTTAGTTCTGGTTAACAGTAATCTAAAACCAAGACAACAGTGCATTAGTGTTCGCAATAAAGCTAACAGAATTCTTGGCTTCATATCTAGAAGTATAAATAATAGAAGTCCTCAGGTTGTTCTTCAACTCTATATATCCTTGGTTAGGCCTCATCTAGATTATGCTGCTCAGTTCTGGTCACCGTATTACAGAATGGATATAAATGCTCTGGAAAACATACAGAGGAGGATAACAAAGATGATCCCATGTATCAGAAATCTTCCCTGTGAGGATAGACTGAGGGCCCTGAATCTGCACTCTCTCAAAAGGCGTAGAATTGGGAATGATATGATCGAGGTGTATAAATGGAAAAGAGGAATAAATAAAGAGGATGTAAATAGCGTGCTGAAAATTTCCATCCAAGACAGGACTCGCAGCAATGGTTTCAAGTTGGAAAAATTTAGATTCAGGAAGGATATAGGAAAGCACTGGTTTGGTAATAGAGTTGTGGATGAGTGGAACAAACTCCCGAGTACAGTTATTGAGGCTAAAATATATTATTGAGGCTAATATGTTAGATAAATACATGAGTGGGTGTGAGTTGGACCTGACTAGCTTGTGCTGCTGGGTCTGGTGAGTGGAGGTGACCGGACTGGGTGGGTCATTGGGCTTATCCGGGGGAGGGGGACATGGACCTGCTCCGCATTGGTCAGTAGGCCTGTTGCAGTGTTCCTTCTTTCTTATGTTCTTATGTTCCTCCAGTGGAGTAAGACTATCAGGAACTTTTCACCTCCATCACGATGGGAAATTTCTCCTGCTTTCTACGGTGAATCACAAAGAGGAAGTGCTCGAAGCATTTCTAAACAATTAATGTGTACCTTATGTAATGTTTGTGCTGATTAATATGCCTAACACAAAATATTTATAATAGGCTATGAGAATAAAGTGTAATGAACACTTGTCAATGCTCAATAATAACTCGAATGGGCTATATATTTACAAATATATAGTTGTGAAATGTGTTTGATTTTTTATATAAATAATGTTGGTAGGTAAGACACATAGGCAACAGTTAGGCAACTTTATTCCGAAACGTTTCGCCTACACAGTAGGCTTCTTCAGTCGAATACAGAAAGTAGGCAGGAACAGTAGAGATGTGAAGACGATGTAATCAGTCCATCACCCTTGAAGTCGTAGAATTTGAGGTTGCCAGTCCCTCGGCCTGGAGAAGTGAACTGAACTTCTCCAGGCCGAGGGACTGACAACCTCAAATTCTACGACTTCAAGGGTGATGGACTGATTACATCGTCTTCACATCTCTACTGTTCCTGCCTACTTTCTGTATTCGACTGAAGAAGCCTACTGTGTAGGCGAAACGTTTCGGAATAAAGTTGCCTAACTGTTGCCTATGTGTCTTACCTGCCAACCTGTCGGTATTGTATACCATTTTGATGTTCATAAATAATGTTGATAACTCTGTGAATGAAAATGGTATACAATACCGATAGGTTGATAAGACACACGTGCAACAGTTAGGTATCTTTATTTCGAAACATTTCGCCTATACAGTAGGCTTCTTCAGTCGAGTACATGAGCTGGCAGAAACAGAAGAGATGTGACGACGATGTAATCAGTCCATTACCCTTGAAGACGTGGTTTTGAGGTGGTCAGTCCCTCATCCTGGAGAAGTTTTGATCCATAGTCTGGAACAATGTGACGTTGAAGCAACTTCACAATGATTACATTCTTTCTTCTACTAGTGGACTCCGCCTCACCTTCTGGCAGTATACAAGTCAACATATTGCTTCTTCAGCTTCACACAGTTTCAGATTATTTAGTAAAACTCTTCTCCAGGCTGAGGGACTGATCACCCCAAATCTGCGTCTTCAAGGGTGATGGACTGATTACATCGTCTTCACATCTCTTCTGTTTCTGCCAACTCTTCTGTACTTACCTGAAGAAGTCTAATGTATAGGCGAAACGTTTCAGAATAAAGATACCAAACAGTTGCACATGTGTCTTGCTTAAAACAAATCTGTAACTAAAACCCTTGACGTACAGGATTAATTCTGACTTGAAATTTAGAATCAACGTACTCGACCACACATTCATTTATCTCATTAGCAGAAGAAAATTAATTTTCTTTAGTTCTCCAGTGATATTTGAGATAATATAGTACCCAGTTTTTCAAGCAGTGTTGTATATGTTTCACACAGGAAATGTAACACGAACTAAAATGTATTAAAGTGTCATATCTGAGGTGGCACATGGGAATTAAATTAACTGTTTTTGTGTGTGTGAAGGTTTCCTCCTGTACAAGAACGTGGTAGTTGTTCATCACCCCTGTCTGTGGAGGCAGCAAAGAGGAACCTACCTATCTCTTTTGGAACGAGGGAGACCGTTAGCATCTTTGCATGTGCATGCACGAAGATGAATGAGTCAGGGTCAATACTTACCTCCTTCCCATGCGGCATCCCTGTGTATAGAGACAGCGAGGAGTCAGAGCCAGAACTTACCTTCTTCGAATGAACGAGTGAATTCCTCAGCATCGATGTGTGTGTGTGGATACAACTATGTGAAGGAGTTATGGTTACCACCTACCTCCTTCTCCGCAGGTACAGGGGAGTCTCGCATCATCCAGGTGAGGAGGGCAGAGGGTCTGGAGCCTCGCGAGGTACAGCGGAGACGCAAGTGCTCCCCCTCTCTGGCTACGGCTGGTCCACTGATGATCACACTCGTTGGTAATACTGAAGCACACACACAACACTTTATTATATTACTGAATTATTATGCTCATCCGAAAATAATTTAACAGATACAACAAAATCGGAGGTTGTGATTTTTGTCTGACAACAATAAATGAACAACAGCAGTGTTATACTGTTCCTAGCAACTAATATGATTTACACTGAATACGGTGAAGACAAAAGAATTATTAGAAGTGTTTCAGATGCTGTCACACGACCTGACAGAGGTACGCCTAGGAAAACACCGAACAAACCCACACGAGCAATTGTACATCTCTGGGTTGGGTTCCAACAACGTCACGAAGTCCAAGAGCTGTAGATCAAAATCATCGAGAGGGCCAGGAGCCGGTGATCAACACAAACAAGTGCCCCAGAGCTGAAGATCAATAGTATCAAGTTGCCCAATAGTTGATCAACACTGTCAAGAGAGCCAGAAGCCAGAGATCAATTATAAAGAGGCCCGGAAATCCGAAATTAACAGTCATGAGGCTCAAAAGCCGGAGATCAACACTCTCAAGAGGCCCAGGAGCTGGAACTCATCCCCACTTGTCATAAAGAAAATATTTATTTAGCAGAAAATGAAGACGTGAACTGGTGAGGATGTAACATTGTGCAACCATCCATGCTGCATGAAACAACCATCCATGCTGCATGAAACAACCATCCATGCTGCATGAAACAACCATCCATGCTGCATGAAACAACCATCCATGCTGCATGAAACAACCATCCATGCTGCATGAAACAACCATCCATGCTTCATGAAACAACCATCCATGCTTCATGAAACAACCATCCATGCTCATGAAACAACCATCCATGCTTCATGAAACAACCATCCATGCTGCATGAAACAACCATCCATGCTTCATGAAACAACCATCCATGCTTCATGAAACAATCATCCATGCTTCTTGAAACAACCATCCATGCTTCTTGAAACAACCATCCATGCTGCATGAAGCAACCATCCATGCTTCATGAAACAACCATCCATGCTTCATGAAACAACCATCCATGCTTCATGAAACAACCATCCATGCTTCATGAAACAACCATCCATGCTTCATGAAACAACCATCCATGCTTCATGAAACAACCATCCATGCTGCATGAAACAACCATCCATGCTGCATGAAACAACCATCCATGCTGCATGAAACAACATCCATGCTCTGAAACAACCATCCATGCTTCTGAAACAACCATCCATGCTTCATGAAACAACCATCCATGCTTCATGAAACAACCATCCATGCTTCATGAAACAACCATCCATGCTTCATGAAACAACCATCCATGCTTCATGAAACAACCATCCATGCTTCATGAAACAACCATCCATGCTTCATGAAACAACCATCCATGCTTCATTGAAACAACCATCCATGCTGCATGAAACAACCATCCATGCTGCATGAAACAACCATCCATGCTTCTGAAACAACCATCCATGCTTCATGAAACAACCATCCATCTTCATGAAACAACCATCCATGCTTCATGAAACAACCATCCATGCTTCATGAAACAACCATCCATGCTTCATGAAACAACCATCCATGCTCTGAAACAACCATCCATGCTTCATGAAACAACCATCCATGCTTCATGAAACAACCATCCATGCTTCTTGAAACAACCATCCATGCTTCATGAAACAACCATCCATGCTTCTTGAAACAACCATCCATGCTTCATGAAACAACCATCCATGTCTTCATGAAACAACCATCCATGCTTCATGAAACAACCATCCATGCTTCATGAAACAACCATCCATGCTTCATGAAACAACCATCCATGCTTCATGAAACAACCATCCATGCTTCATGAAACAACCATCCATGCTTCATGAAACAACCATCCATGCTCTATGAAACAACCATCCATGCTTCATGAAACAACCATCCATGCTTCATGAACAACCATCCATGCTTCATGAAACAACCATCCATGCTTCATGAAACAACCATCCATGCTTCTTAAAACAACCATCCATGCTTCATGAAACAACCATCCATTCTTCATGAAACAACCATCCATTCTTCATGAAACAACCATCCATGCTTCATGAAACAACCATCCATTCTTCATGAAACAACCATCCATGCTTCTTGAAACAACCATCCATGCTGCATGAAACAACCATCCATGCTTCATGAAACAACCATCCATGCTTCATGAAACAACCATCCATGCTTCATGAAACAACCATCCATGCTTCATGAAACAACCATCCATGCTTCTTGAAACAACCATCCATCCATTCTTCATGAAACAACCATCCATGCTTCTTGAAACAACCATCCATTCTTCATGAAACAACCATCCATTCTTCATGAAACAACCATCCATGCTTCTTGAAACAACCATCCATGCTTCATGAAACAACCATCCATGCTTCTTGAAACAACCATCCATGCTTCTTGAAACAACCATCCATGCTTCTTGAAGCAACCATCCATGCTTCTTGAAGCAACCATCCATGCTTCTTGAAGCAACCATCCATGCTTCATGAAACAACCATCCATTCATGAAACAACCATCCATTCTTCATGAAACAACCATCCATTCTTCATGAAACAACCATCCATGCTTCTAGAAACAACCATCCATTCTTCATGAAACAACCATCCATGTTTCTTGAAGCAACCATCCATGCTTCTTGAAGCAACCATCCATGCTTCTTGAAGCAACCATCCATGCTTCTTGAAGCAACCATCCATGCTTCTTGAAACAACCATCCATGCTTCTTGAAACAACCATCCATGCTTCTTGAAACAACCATCCATGCTTCTTGAAACAACCATCCATGCTTCTTGAAACAACCATCCATGCTTCTTGAAACAACCATCCATGCTTCTTGAAACAACCATCCATGATTCATGAAGCAACATTCCATGATTCATGAAGCACCCATCCATGCTTCTTGAAACAACCATCCATGCTTCTTGAAACAACCATCCATGCTTCTTGAAACAACCATCCATGCTTCTTGAAACAACCATCCATGCTTCTTGAAACAACCATCCATGCTTCTTGAAACAACCATCCATGCTTCTTGAAACTACCATCCATGCTTCTTGAAACAACCATCCATGCTTCTTGAAACAACCATCCATGATTCATGAAGCAACATTCCATGATTCATGAAACAACCATCCATAATTCACGAATCCACCCTCCATGCTTTATGAAGGAAGAACTGCTGTCATGGTCAACTGCTAGCATGGTCTACTGCTATCATGAACTATCATGGTTTACTGCTATCATGGTTTAGTGTTATCATGGTTTAGTGTTATCATGGTTTAGTGTTATCATGGTTTAGTGCTATCATGGACTTCTGCTATCATGGTCTACTGCTATCATGGTTTAGTGCTATCATGGTTTAGTGCTATCATGGTTTAGTGCTATCATGGTTTAGTGCTATCATGGACTTCTGCTATCATGGTCTACTGCTATCATGGTTTAAAGCTATCATGGACTTCTGCTATCATCGTCTAGTGCTATCATGGACTACTGCTATCATGATAATACTGTATTACTGTTGAGGTAGTGGTGTATTGCTGTTAATGTATTGGGGATTTGCTGTTGAGGTAGTGATGTATTACTGTAGAGGGGGTGATGTATTGCTATGGTATAATTGCTGTTATTAAGTACTTCTGTATTTCCGTTGTATAATGCCCCGGAAATACATGAGAGGAAGGAAGGCACATAGTACCAGCATCAGTGTGTAATCTCTGCAACAGTACTGTTGGACAGGGATAATGATATTCTGATCTACGCTTTGCACTAGTTCCTGCTTTAACTACTCTTTATAACTGTTCCAGCTTTTGTAAACTTCTGTTGCACGAATAACAGAAAAAAGGCACAATACCGTGACTGGAACGATGCACATAGAAGAGAGGTGCTTACGACGACGTTTCGGTCCGACTTGGACCATTTACAAAGTCACACTAACGGGGAATATATAGGGGGGAAGTGGTAGTGGAAGCAGCAGCAGCAGCAGTCGCCGCCGCCGCCGCCGCCGCAGCAGCAGCAGCAGCAGCAGCAGCAGGAGGTGGAAGGAAGTAGTGGTGGGGAAGTAAGGAGGAGAAGCCAGTCAAATACTAAGAGAGGGGAGCACTGCAAGGGAGCTAGGTGCCCACAAGGGAGCTAGGTGCCCACAAGGGAGCTAGGTGCCCACAGAGGGAGAGCGAGAACACAGAGGTGGGGGGGGGGTAAATAATACAATAAATAATGAAGGAACAGAAACAAGGCAGAGGAAAGAAAGACAACCCAGAAGAGAAAGAGGAAAGGGGAAGAGGGAGAAGAAGAAAGGAGGAATCAGGTTAAGTCACGGGTGTTCTGAAGTTTGGAGCATTTTACAATGTAGTGGGAGAGGAAGGCATCTACAGAGACGAAGCCAGGACTAAGATTTATACATTGTAAAATGCTCCAAACTTCAGAACACCCGTGACTTAACCTGATTCCTCCTATTTCTTCTTCTCCCTCTTCCCCTTTCCTCTTTCCTTTTTCTCTTCTGGGTTATCTTTCTTCTGCCTTTTTTCTGTTTCTTCATTATTTATTTTATTATTTACCCCCCCCCCTCTGTGTTCTCGCTCTCCCTCTGTGGGCACCTAGCTCCCTTGTGGGCACCTAGCTCCCTTGCAGTGCTCCCCTCTCTTAGTATGTGACTGGCTCCTCCTCCTTACTTCCCCACCACTACTTCCACCTCTGCTGCTGCTAATACTACTACTACTACTAATACTAATACTACTACTACTAATACTAATACTACTACTACTACTACTAATACTACTACTACTAATACTACTACTAATACTACTACTAAATAATAATACTAATACTAATACTACTACTACTAATACTACTACTAATACTACTACTACTAATACTACTAATACTACTACTAATACCACTACTACTACTACTTCCCGCCTATATATACCCGTCCTGCTCTACTTCTTGCTAGTGTGACTTTGTAAATGATCCAA